CGGGCTCCTCTTCCCTGCCCCCCCCGACGCTGGCCGGGGGCTCCCCACGCTACCAGCCCCGTCAGAGATCCGCGGGGAGAGTGGGATTGTAGGCCAGTCCACGGGCCCCGGGGTGCCCCGTGTCGAGGTAAGCAAATAGCACGTCTCAGTGAGGAGTCACGCCAAACAGAGATGGCTGGCCTGCCCTCACTATGCCGGCCTTCTCCACCCCCACCAGAGAAAATGGAGGCAACTTTGATGTGGGCACCTAGCCTGGTGTGGTGGGCGGGGGCCGGGCGTGCGGGGAGCAGTCGGGCTTCGCCCCGCAAGTGGGGCTGGGCTGGGGGTGACTCACAGAGCTCGCAGAGTTGGGCCAGTCTGGCTCGCTTCACTCCGCCTCTGCGCAGTCCTTTGGTGGCTTTCCTGGCCTTTGTTGTCTGGGCTGCTCGTTCGTTCCCACAACCGGGCCTGGGTGCTCTCAGGAGTCCTCCTCTGTGTCGGCCCCAAAACCTCGAACCTGCTGCCGCTTGTTTGTCGATGTAGGATCGTTGTTGAAAGAATTATTCGCCTTTTGTTGCTCTTGGAAATACAATCAATACTCTGGTATCACAGCGCACAGCTCTCAGGATCGCGCTGTCAGAATCGCGCTGTTTCCTGGCACGGCCGCTCCAGACCCGTCGCCATCTTCAACCTCCTGAAAAAGGAATTTGTTTCAATGAATGAAATGAGAAGTTTGAGAAAGAATGTTATGTCCTTGTTCAGATATTTGAAAGGATGTCATGTGAAAGAAGGATTGAAATTATTTTGTACAACCTCAGGGGCTCAGGGACATGTTGGGGTAGGGCACAGGGAGACAGATTTAGGCTCAATTTTAGTACTTTTTCATAGATCTGTCCAGAAGCTTTTCTGGAATATTCAGCATTCCCAGTTCCTGGATGTATTAAAAAGCATAGGCAAGTCAGTGGTTTGCCCACAATCGTATGGGTGAGGCGGTTTATGTCACACAGTGGATAGAGTGAGGCATAGTAATGTGTTTAAGGACATGGGTTCTAGGATCAAACTTCTAGAATTGGCACTTCTACCTACTGGCTCTGTGACCTTAGTTAGGATTGTCATGATAATTAACAGGACAAAGTGCTTAGAACAGCATCTGGGGGCTGGCCCCGTGTCTCACTCGGGAAAGTACGGCACTGGTAGTGCTGAGGCTGCGGGTTCGGATCCTATATAGGGATGGCCGGTGCGCTCACTGGCTGAGCGTGGTGCAGATGACACCATGCCGAGGGTTGTGATCTCCTTACCGAGGGTTGTGATCTTGTGATCTCCTTACCGGTCAAAAAAAAAAAAAAAAAAAAGAACAGCATCTGGTACATAGCAAGTGCCAAATAAGTCACAAGTAAACATTAGCTATAATTGTTGTTGAACTTTGAAGTTCCTCTTGCCTTGAAAGACTTTGAATTTCTAATTGTGTAATTGGGTGATGATATTCTTGTGAATTAAGAAGATGATAATGAGGAAACTGAAGCAAAAAATAAAATTGTGATAGTTAACAATTCAGCAGCAAAGATATCAATAAAACTCTGATCTCTTTTGAACTAGAGTTCATTGCTCTGGTAACTATCTTGATCTGTCCTTTTGGCCACAGCCCATCCAGAGCACTTTAAGAGGGGTTGGTACTACATGACTCTTTCTAGCTGGTGTTTTCCTTGTCTCATAGGTAAAGTGACCTCGTGAATAGGAATGCTTGCCAAAATATCAGGATTGGAGATAATGGATGAAGATCGATTAATCGAAGAAGTCTTGGATAAGTTTGTTAATTGTCATGAGCAAACATATGAAGAATTTCTGGGCACTTTTACTCATCTTTCTAAAGGTAAAACGGAGGAGTAAAACTTTCTACAGCAGAAGAGATAAAGAATTTTATTATAAGTTTATGTCTTTACTGCCTTTTCAGAAAGAATATTTAATGAGCATTCATTCCATTCTTTTCATCAGGTGGTTCTTATTAGGGAATTTACAACAGATGCATATAAATGCCAGTGCCTTTATACATCCAAGAATTGTTATGGAGTCAGAGTCTCTGAATTTGATAACAACAAATGACCTGAGAAATCATTTAATGTAATCCCTTCATAATATTTGTGAAGAAAGCTAGGTGCACAGAATGGAGGTTGTTAAAAGTATACTTAAAACTTAAGAAATTCAGCATAGTATAGGCTGTGGAGTTAACGCTGCACGCATTTGGATCCTGGCATTACCACTTACTGGCTATGTGACCTTAGGTGGGGTGTTATTGAGTAAAGGGGGAATAATAATAGTACCTTCCTCAAAGGCTGAGGAAAGTTGATTGAGATAATCCATGTAAAACTCTTAGCATAGTGGCTAACACATGATACTTGCTGAGTGCTGGATATTATTGTTGTCATGCTGCTGCTGCAGTTTCTGTAGATTGGAACCAACCCTTTAGACTGGTGGTGAAACCAAATGTGAAATCCAGCTTGCATTTTTCATTATGTGTTTTGTTTGCCTCATACGATGTTGTTGTTTATTAATTGAGGCAACATTTAAAGTTGGATCATTTTACATGAAAATCTTGATTTGTGTTTTTTTCCGGGTCAAGTGAGAAGATCTGTTATCTGTTATTTCCCTCATGGCAATATCCGCTAGAGCTCAGGAGCCCTTATCCTGTGAGCTCCCTAGTTTGTCATGCTCTCTGGCACTCACACAGTCTAAAAATGTGTGCAAACAGTCTGCTTCATTCACTTCAGTGGCTCCTGTAGGCAGCTGGGTTTAATCTTTATCCTAGGTTCTGTTTCAGATTGCCATCAGTTTGCTCTTGACCTTGGTCCTTTGTGGGTCATAGGTCCACATTTGTGAAACAATTCGTTCTTTACCTGGGTGCGCGTTAGACTCACCTGAGGAGCTTTTAGAACATATTGATACCAAAGCCCACTCCAAAGCTCAGCTGGAGCTAAGGAATTAGTATTTTTTAAAAGCTCCTTGGTGATTCTAATGTGTACCCAAGGTTGAGAACAGAGAGTTTTGTAATCACCAAGGTTATGATACTCCTGATACTCTTAAGATACCCAACTTCATGATTTTAAGTCATGGTTCATGTATCCTAAACAAATATAAAAGAAAGGTAGTTATAATGAACAAAAGGAAAAGTGATTCTTACCTACTTTTATTATGCAAAATAGAATATCGTGTATATCTGTTTTGTTTACAATGAAAAATGTGGACTTTAATTTTTGTTTACACTTAAGGGAATTTGAGAATTTAGGAAATATCTAGTAAACTTTGGGGCTATCTGTGAATGATCTCTTTATATTTTGACATGATATGTAGATCAAATTTATCTTGATAATGGCCAGATTATATTTTGGGTTTAGGAAGATGCTTGCTTTCTTTTAGCCTAATGATTTAGTTCCTGCTTTCTGGACCCGAACATGGCAGCATAAATGGCTGGGGTGGGGGTGGTGATGGTGGAAACAAGGGTAAAACTGGCAGATTTAATAAATTTTGGTATCCTGTTTGCATTTTGATAATGCAGATTATATTTGATAATGCATTTGATAATGGAGATTATTTGTAAAGTTGATTTTATTTTTGTACCCTGGAAGAGTAAAAAACTTTTTGTAGGGACTTTGATATTTTCAGAGGGTTACAAGGTATTTTGGGGTGGGCGAGGTATAAGGGGTCTATTCTGTTTTCAAATTCTAGTATAATCATTGTATGCCAAGAAAAAACACTGTTGCAGTTGCGGTGACCTCACTTTGAGTTCAGTTTTGGGCCCCAAGTTGAGCTGAAATAAATGATGACGCAAGTCGCATAAACTGCATTTCCAAGCACATCCGTTTTTTCCTTTCAAAATATCCCTAGGCACTAATTCACATTATAAACTAATGACCTGAAAAAAATCCTGTTAAAGCACAAGGAGTTGTGAACGCAAAGATGTGTCTTAAACCAGTAAGTGTCTTTTTTCCCTTTGAAACATTTAAATACCTTCTGAAAAACCAAACAGGACTTAAGGACATGCCTAAGAGTTGAGTGATAGCCAGGAGAATTGATCAAGGTGAATATGGTTAGTTCTGTTTGAGAAAAGACATTAAAAAGCTGTTTCTGCAAAGTTCCTGTTTTTTCCTCTTCTTTTCAGGCTATAATTTGTCTCAGTGTGTTTGGTTGTTTTGCTGATAGGTAGTGAATCTCTACTTTGTTAAAGTGGTTATCACTATGCATACTTATGTATATTTCTTGAGTAAGTTTAGTTTCTCAAGTCTATTACCATTTGCACGGACTGACTGTTCTATTTATTTTTATAATAGTTATATGCCAGAATGCTTACGGGATTCATTTTCTTTCCAAGAGTGTTAAAAGGGTCAGTAATCCTATTAAAAATATTTCCCTGGAAAAAAATTAAATTATAGCCTTATTGAAAGAAATTCACATTACTGCTTCAGACTCTTGGAAAACAGTTGGAAACTGTTAATAGTGTAGCATAATTCTCACTATGGTACATTTATGTTGATATGCTTTGCAGTTTTTTCTTTTTTAAAGTAAATCTAAATTTTTAAGCCATGGTACATATTTGATAATAAATACAATGTTCTATCAAAATGTTTAAAGAGACATTAATTATTAGTTTTAAACAGTTATAATTCAATTCTCAGTAGTGTCTTCAGTTCAAGAGAGTAAATAAAGTTGTAAGCTGTGTATTTGAAAATCAGCATGCAGAGTTTGTTTTTTTCATTACTGATAAAGACATTATTATGTTGTTGACATTATTGTGGATAAAATAATCAGCTAAGTTTCAATCTTTTGTATCTGAGTTTCTTTGTAAACATAATTAATTTATAGGACTTTCTAGAATGTTTGTCTAGAAGAAAAAAAGGCTTCTTCCTCCTTGTTGGTCATATTTCTATTTTTTTTTAGATTACAAAAACACAGATGTGAATACTTATATTTGACTTTTTGTTAGTGTGTTTTTTCATTTATTCATCCATTAATTCTGTGAGTGTCTTGTTATGGTTTAGGTATTATTTTAGGTGCTGAGGATTCAGAAGTAAATATGATATAGTTCGTGTCCTCAAGCACTCATAGTCCAGTGGGAGGGAGAAATAAGCAGGAAATTATACTAATGTATGAAGAAAAGCAGAGTGCCATGAGAGGTCACAGGACGGCCACCCAGTCTATGGCTGGAGGGAGGGTGATAAAGTCTACCTGTCCGAGAGGATGCCTAGGGTGAGTCTGGGGTAACCACTGACCCAAAATGTGTCTTGGGTCCTAAGGCATTAAGTAGAGCTCAGGGAGGGTTGACAGATAAGAACCAAAATCGACAGATGTTAAAATGCCTCCATTGGCGATGAAGTACCCTCATCCTTCAGACAATAATTCTTCAAGATGAAGATGTAGACTTGCTTTATAGTAAGGTTTAGAGTTACTTCTAAACTGCTGAGAGCAAAAGGCAATTTCTTTTAATTTCCTTCCACATCAAGATTACCACACGATCCAATTTGGGAAGCATTTGCTTCCGCCTTTTAGAGTGGTAGCTGAGTTACTACTCATGTTGCCGTCACACAGATACTAAGATAATTAAGAATTCAGTGACTCAGAAATTGACATTAAATCTTTTCAGCTCCATTTTGTTACATATAGTAGCCTTAGGGGATTACAGTAGTTATTTCCAATTCTCAATCTCTTTCTCTCATAGCACGCACGCACACACACACACACACACACACACACACACACACACACACACACACACTCCATTATTGTTTTGTTTGTGTGCTTGTGATAATGATTAATTTCCATGAAAGTTGCCTATTTTACCAACTATTCAACATGAAATAGACACACACACACACACACACACACATACACACACACACACTCCATTATTGTTTTGTTTGTGTGTTTGTGATAATGATTAATTTCCATGAAAGTTGCCTATTTTACCAACTATTCAACATGAAATAGCTTGGAAATTGAAATGAATCTACTGTGATTTTATGATTGACTCTTAGATAAGTCTGTTTTCCATTCTCTGATTTCATTTTTGAAATACCTAGGATTCAGTTGCTATATTACCATATAATAACAGATTTCTATTTACTGCTATATTTGCCTACTTTAACCTATTTTATTCTGTGTAGATCAAAGGTTTTGTTTCAGATTTAGTTATGTAATTTCTAGTTTTGTTTATGCTATTCTCACTTCACTTGCAGTACTTTTACTTTGTGCTTTTAGCATTTTATTGTTCTATTAACATATCTTTGAAAAAAATTCCTGCCAACTAAACCTCCCTTTTTTTCTTCATACTTGTTAATATTTTAATTAAATTCTCCATTAGGTAGAACGTTGTGTGTCTGAATGTTTAGGACAATTGGCCAGGCCTGTGACTTTATAAACTAGTGGTGTTCTGGCCTTTTTTTTTTTTTTTTTTTTTTTTTTTTTTTTTTTTTTCCGTGTCCGGCAACGGATCACAACCCTCAGTGTTGCCCCCGTACCGGACCGGGGACCGGCAACGGGATCGCAACCCTCGGTGTTGCTCCCACGGCTCGCTCAGCCAGTGAGCGGGAACCGGTCTGTATGTGGGATCCGAACCCTCGGGCGGGAGCACCACCGCACTTCCCAAGCGGCGCACTTATCCAGTGCGCCACCGGGTCAGCCCTGTAAATCTACTTCTTGCCATGTATTTTTCTATGAGAGCTTTTCAAATAAATCTTTATTCAGAGGGGGTTAAAAAAAACACATAAAAAATGATGTTTTTAAAGTCAAAGAAATATACACCAGTGAGAGAACCCTATCTTCTTTGTGGGTGTGTTGTATTTCTGAACTATTGAATATACAAATATGTCACATGATTATGTA